TATTTGCAGCCGGTCAACTGTTCGGTCGATTTGTCAGGAATCAAGTCAGACACCTCTCCAACCACATTCGATCGGGCAGAGCCAACCTCTCAGATGAGACAGCAGAAGCTCTTCAGTTGATCCGCAATTACATCCACTCCAACGTGCCCAGAAAGATCGTAGGCACACTGTGTGACCACATTCACATTTACGTTGATGCTTCTTTTGATGATGGAGGTTACTCAGGTTTATCAGGTTTAGGAGGTGCCATCTATGACAGTGAAGGGAATCCTATTTCCTTCTTCAGTGAAGAATTGAGTCGAGATTTTCTTGAGACCGTGCGCTCCGATGGTCAAGTGACTGTCATCCAGGAGCTTGAAATGTTAGCACTTCTCATAGCGGTCCGACTTTGGTTCCGGGAGTTTAAGAGTCATAGGTTTGTCGCATTCACCGATAGCGAGCCTGTCAGGGGTGCATTCCTTAAGACCTGGTCCAATAACACTCATAATAGTCGTTTTCTGACGCACATCTTCCAAGTGGAAGAAGACTGCCTTTGTCAACTTTGGCCAGAGCGAGTGCCCAGCCAATCGAACCCATCCGATTGCCTCTCTAGAAAGAAGGTTGAAAGTTGGAAGGGTTTGAAGAGAAGGCAAGTCGATTGCCAAAGCCTTTGGAACGAAGCGGCCCTCCTCAGGGGTAAGTGCGCGGCCTGAACCAGACACAATCCCCAGTGACAAAAATAGCTGCTGCGGATCTTTACCGTTGACCCAGGCTTGGAGGTGAAAGGTCGGAATGCACTTCACAGGGGTCAGCCAAGAACATGCAAACAAATAAGAGTTTTCTCATGGTACATGAAAAAGCCTTATTTGAACTGTATGTTCGAAGAACGAATCTTCATGAGTGAGCTGACCACTGAAGTTCATGTACATGTCCGTTTTGTTCAGCTTCAAGTGAAGCAGACATAGAGCAAGTGCTCTTGTCACATGTCATGTTTTCATGTCACAACATGCAATCAGATGAGCGCATGATTCAATTGAAAGTAACCTTTGCAGTTTACCGTCAATCAAATAGTTTTGATCCTCAATATTCAAAGATCAAAACAATTTCACTTCAATTTTTTTTCGCCCCGAACCTCTCCCACCCTTTTTAGACATGGATGTTCAACCCGATGTTGACCTTGTCACCATCTTCGGAGCCGTTTTCACAGTGCAGTCCTATATTCCAGAAGCTAGACGAAGCGTTGCCACAACCAGCAGCCCAACTTGCTGCAATGATTCAACAAGTCGGCCAAGTCAAGATTCAGCTTCGCTTCTTACTCCAGCTCAAGTTACTGAAAGCATGTCGACGACTCCGTCAACATCTTGCTCAACATGGACGATTGCCACTGTTGAATTTGAATTTCCGCTGCTAGTGTAGCTGGCTTTTCCGTGGTAGCACATTGCCTACCCCAGCCAGTACGCGGCCTGAACCAGACACAATCCCCAGTGACAAAAAATAGCTGCTGCGGATCTTTACATTTGACCTAGGCTTGGAGGTGAAAGGTCGGAATGCACTTCACAGGGGTCAGCCAAAAATATGCAAACAAATAATTTTCATGATGGGAACTGGAATGACAAATCATTATCACTAACATGACATGCAGGTCAAATGTTGACCGATCGATTGCACAATCACAGATTTGGTGTTCAAGTGTATTGCACGTTTGATCTTGATCCGGTCATTGACCCATCAGTTTGGTTCAGCTGCGAACGTGCTAGGGAGCAGCTGTGACCATGTTTGTGCAATCGCAGTCTTGTTTGTGGTAAGTAATAAATATTTAGCCCATGTTGATGCATTTTGTGGAAACGAATCGGCACTGGAAAAACATTTGCGATGCCACGATTCCGATGCGCCAATGTCAAGCGTAGTTGCTATGAAAATTGCACATGTGGCGTGTGCCATGGGGGACACAGGCGATTCTTTTCAATGCGTCATTTACATTCATGTACGATGTCACGAAAATTATTTTGCAAGAGTAAGAGTAACATGTATCATATGGACCTGCACACCGATAACGTGTTCCAAAATTTTTACCGAAGAGTCCAAAATGACCAATTGGACAATGTCTCCAATTTGCACACGGACGGTGTTTCCTACTTGTTGCACGTGGTGTTGCCATGCTATGGTGCGCCGGTGAACAGTTTTGGCGGTGGTCATTCGTCTTGCATAGAGGCTGGGGGCATTTGCGAAATGCCACCGGGGTTTCAAACATTCTGTCACTCGCAGAAGCATTGAGCAGTCCAGGTGAGCGGTGACCATGAGGTTGTTTCGCCCTGAATTTTGCGTGGGGGCCGGGATCTCACAGTCAGATGTTTGCCCGTGTGGTCGAACCGTAACCATGGCATGTCTGTTGCAGTAGCCGTTTGGCGTCAATGGCCCAGGTGGCGGTGCTTTTGAGTTTCCTTTCGCTGACCATTCTGATGTTGTCTTCAGCGCCCAATTCCAATAGGGAGGTTGCCAGGGGGGTCCGGGACCCTTCACTAGACACATGTGAATTGAACAGACACACATGAACTGCCTCAACGAAATCCAAAAATGATTTCGTTAATTTCTCAGCAAAATTTTCACGGTTGGAAAACTGAGAACGTGTGTTCCTAGCTTCTGTGCATGTGTTTGACGGTTCTCGTGGGTGGAAACATCAATACTCCCATGGCCAGGCTGCGGCTACGGGCATAGCACGGTCTCTGCAGGCCCAGTTGGATCCATGGTGATGCATGGGCGCCATGAACAATCCATTCTCCTGTGCATATATCATCATATATCAAGAAACCCCACCGGACCCAACCCAAACATACCCAAACAATTTAGTTCATTTTCCTAGTGATGGATCTGCGCACAGATTTTCCCCATCGCGTTTCGTTCACCGCACGGTGCAGTTGCAGAGTCGACCCAGGTTCGAACATGGGAACGCGACTCGCAGGCTGTTGCCTCGTCCCCGGCGCTTTTGGCGCCTCGGATATAGCCATAGCAGCCACGGTTGATGGTGATTCATGGTTTCATAGTTTCACAACAAAAGTTGATGGTTGATGGTTGATGACTGATGATTGATGATGACCTATGCCTATGGATCCTAGGGTTGGTGAATTTCATCCTCTTCCCATGCGCCTCTTGGTGGTAGAGATATGGAGGGTCGGTTGCCAAGGCCTTGGATAGTCGGCTGGAATCCATGGAGCGACACCTCCAGGAGTTGAGAGGCGGATCTGTGGGACACATGGCTTGGATAAAGATGCTGCAGCAGCATCGGAGCATCGCACACCAGGCCCGAGCTTTGCGTATCCGCAGTATCCGGCCTATGGACAACCGCCAGCAATGGGTGCCTCCCAGGGGCAGATGGACGCATTGTGCGGTGCCTAGTGAAGTGAAGTTGGAAACTTTAGATTTGGATTGCCAGAGAATGTAACCTTAGAAATTTCAGATCCCTTGTTTTTTCCCCCTCCGGGAGGGTACTGTAGAGTTATGGAAGTAATCCACTTATCCGGGGCTGACATTGCAGTATATATAATTGAGTATGGTGATTTGTCATGTTTTACTCTGTTTTTAATCCCTGCCTAGGGGATATAGCATCCGATGAATGCGCAATGGGTGCCGAACCATCAGACCCACCTTGGAATTGTTTGAATTTGCTAAGGGTCCAGCAGATGAGAGAGGCATTTGCGAAGTCAACAAAGGAGAACCAGGTGGTGCCCCAACACCAGGAGAGGTGAGGGAAGTCCTCAGCTCTTCAGTCACGGAGTCAAATTCGAGAAACACCATGTTTGACGCCTCAAAAATTCGTTAGTTGGGTCCAACTGGAGTCCAACTGATTGCTGGGTTTCCCTAGTTAAAGAAGATATATACCTGATATACCATGAATTTCTTGGGAGTTTGATTTCATTGGGAACAACATGTTAACAATCTTTGTTTCCAATGCCGCCAGGACTACTGGGGTGGCTGGGAGGAGCCAACAACGACGACTCCCGTGTGGCAGGGGCAGATCAAGGAACTTCGGGAGGTCCAGCGACATCGGGAACCGACATGGAACTGAAATGGACCAACATATAGCCAACACATGTATGAACATGGATCTCAGGTGATTCATGGTGATTCATCTTCAAGACCCTACATAACTAATGTCAACCCTGGATTAATAAACCCCAAACGGCTGTTTAATTGTGGGGATACCATGGTACCATGGTTTATTATCCGGGGATAGCAATCCAAAAACCCAAGCAGTTTCAATTGTGGGGCAGGCCGTGGAGCGTTTGTCGCACCAGACGGACGACCGATTTTCGCCGCTGAGATGGGAAGATTTTCCATGCCATGGAAACTTTTTGATGTCGAAAGAGTCTAAAGCATCAACAGAAAATGGTTGGATTTTTATGTGCTGACTTGGTGCTACTAGTCTCAAGACAGAAAAACTCAAGAGGTTTGGGTTCCGCTTTCTCTGGCGACCCACAGAAAAGATGGAATTTGAAAGCGGGGATTATATACTGTATATATAATATATATATATATATTTTTTCTTTTGGCAGTGGTTGAAGATGGATTCTTGGAACATTTTCCTCAACTTCTGGTCTCTTGCCACCCCCAATTGGAGAATGATGGATTCAACATGATTCAACGTGTTGAAAAGATGTTCTCACATGTTCTCACATCCTTGCAGTTGCCGGACAGAATTGTTGAATACGGAGAGACCTATGCTAAGAATGAACTATTTGGTCGCATTGGTCAGGTCACTGATGCAGCCTGGCAAAGCCAAAGGCGAAGTGTTGGAAGGGCTCTGTGCCCTGCAGATGGTTGGCAGATTTAATGTCCCTTGAACGTTGCTCAGATCCCGTGCGGATCCAAGCTAAATACAGGAAAACCCGATGAAATTAGGGATAAAACCCAACGTTCTTGTAAATTTTTTCTTCAATCCATAGACATCCCAGAGGGGATCATCCCAGTCCTGATTGGCGTCTCGCTGAAGGCTGGAAGTGACACACCGCAGCCATGAATTTTGGGTCAGACCTCAGGGCCGGCACGCCCGAAATCCACATGGCCATGAGCCATGGCCCACCAAAGCTCTGTCCGAGAACCAAGTTTCAGAGAGGTACCTGTTTCGGCCAAGAATTCTCACCGGAGTTGCTCCCAAATAGACAAATCAATGGGGGAAACCGGGAAACAGTAGGTTGAACATGATTTTCAGCTCTCCAAAAGATTTTGGGCAAAGAAGTCTGACTCGTCTGACTAAGACAATGGCAGCTTTGGCGCCCATGGCGCCCATCTCCCGTGCTCAGAGGTCATCTGCCATGTGATCACCGTTTTGCTTGTGAAATCTGCTGATTTCTCCTGAACCTAAAAGTGAGATCTCCTGACTCTTTGATCTCTTTGAAGGTGACATGCCGTTTTTTCATGGTGTTTGGTGTTGCTGAAGCATCCCATTGTTTTCATCGACACATCTCCCCATCGGCGAGGCGCTGCCGTTCCTTCAATGCGACGGTCCCGACTTCGATCCGCTCTGGAGGGAGCTGCGGGTCATCAGCGCGGCACATCGCCAGGCAAGGTCGTTGTTGACGGTGAAGAGATGATCTGTGACAGGAATTAATCACCCAGAATGGTGGTTAAATAGTGGTTCACAATGTGGTGAATTATAGGGTCAACAATGGGGTGACTCATAATTTATGGTTATATATATATATAATAATGCCTATTAATCCCACCCCCTATTATTACACCTATATAAATGGTCCCAAATATGTGTAAATATGTGTAGAATTGTGTAGATCCCCTAGTAGACCATGGTCTTGGGAGGTGTTCTTTATGTTGGGAAGGGATTGCACCCTTGTTGTGGATGGACATCACCATCCATCATAGCCATAGCCAAATAGATTAAATAGACCATCCCTGAAATGATGAATAGATAGAGTGGATAGATAAATGATGAATACAAATATAGACATATAGATACACATACAGAATAGATAAATGAATAATGTGCAGATTAGAATGATTAGAAAATGAAAGAATGCTAAGAATGCCGACATCGCCACTGGGGGTAGGGGGACCATTTTCAGAGACAGCCATATCTAAAGAGACAAGTGAATGAATGACCAAATGAATACATACATACATGAAGACATGGTGTGAATATATACATACATATTGAACAGATGCATATGCTTTACATTCGAACAAATATGCAGCATTATTTTTTGAAAACTCCAAAATCAGTTCATGGTAGACATTTCATGGTAGACAAAACCATGTATGTATATATATATATATTATACGCATAATATATTGTCTTGTCTTTATTGTAGGTGGCAGTATGTTGCAATTTTATATGACCTTTGAAGTGTGTGTATCTCAGTTTTTCCTTGCAGGTATCAGGTCCAGTCTCCCCCAAACATGGGAAAGCTACATTGATTTCACTCTGGACCGCCGCCGCAGTTTTGGGCTTGAGGACGCATTTGAGCCCCACTTTTAAATTCATGTTCTCCCCCATATTTCACATTTTCTGCTACAGTCCCATCAGATTTTTCCACCAACCCATCAAAACCAGGGCCACCACAGGGGGGCTGCTCCCCACTCGAGTGGGCAGGAAGTAGTAGCAAGCCACAAAAACTATGGTTCAGGTGTTAAGAACTAGTAATAAGATGTAATAAGCCACAAGACTATAGAAAAACCATGGTAGTTTTTCTGTATGACTGGCTTACTTCATAGATTTCACATAGATTTCACAGGGTCACCCAAGGGCGTCATGACCACCGCCATGCAGCTGCTGAGCAGCGCCGCCTCCAAGGGCGCCGAGGCCGCCAGCAGCGCGGGCCTGGCCGCGCGCCATGCGGCGCAGAAGGCGCGGGAGCACACGGAGGCGGCGGTGGTGGCGCGGAAGGAGCAGTACCTGGAGGTCACGTGGCGATTTTTGGAGGTTTTTGGATTGTTTTTTTTTTTGATGTTTTGTTTTTTGTTCGAGTTGTATTTTGGCATCTATTTCCCCACATCTTTGTGTGGGGTTCTTGTTTTTGATTCTGTATCCCGGGCTCCTCCTCCGCCTTCTCCTCCGCCCTCCTCCACACTTTGTCACCACACACTTGTCCACACACACTTTGTCACCACACACTTTGTCACCACACATTGTCAACACACACTTTGTCCACACACACTTTGTCACCACACACTTTGTCACCACACATTGTCAACACACACTTTGTCAACACACACTTTGTCACCAAACACTTTGTCCACACACACTTTGTCCACACACACTTTGTCCACACACACTTTGTCACCACACACTTTGTCACCACACATTGTCAACACACACTTTGTCCACACACACTTTGTCACCACACACTTTGTCACCACACATTGTCAACACACACTTTGTCAACACACACTTTGTCACCAAACACTTTGTCCACACACACTTTGTCCACACACACTTTGTCACCAAACACTTTGTCCACACACACTTTGTCACCAAACACTTTGTCCACACACACTTTGTCCACACACACTTTGTCACCACACACTTTGTCCACACACACTTTGTCACCAAACACTTTGTCCACACACACTTTGTCCACACCTTCGTTTCACGTGGCAGGCGTGGCACAATCTCACATCTACCGTCGTTTTGCGTGGCAGGCGTGCCACTTATGGTACTGGGTGGCGCCCTTGGGCCGGGATTTGGCGCCGGGGCGCCGCGCCACTTTGCGTGGCAGGCGTGGCACAATCTGACATCCACCTTCGTTTCACGTGGCAGGCGTGGCACAATCTCACATCTACCGTCGTTTTGCGTGGCAGGCGTGCCACTTATGGTACTGGGTGGCGCCCTTGGGCCGGGATTTGTCGCCGGGGCGCCGCGCCACTTTGCGTGGCAGGCGGGGCACAACCTGACATCCACCTTCGTTTCACGTGGCAGGCGTGGCACAATCTCACATCTACCGTCGTTTTGCGTGGCAGGCGTGGCACTTATGGTACTGGGTGGCGCCCTTGGGCTGGGATTTGGCGCCGGGGCGCCGCGCCACTTTGCGTGGCAGGCGTGGCACAACCTGACATCCACCTTCGTTTCACGTGGCAGGCGTGGCACAAACTCACATCTACTGTCGTTTTGCGTGGCAGGCGTGGCACTCATGGTACTGGGTGGCGCGCTTGGTCCGGATTTGTCGCCTGTGACGCCGCGGCACTTTGCGTGGCAGGCGTGGCACAATCTGACATCCACCTTCGTTTCACGTGGCAGGCGTGGCACAATCTCACATCTACCGTCGTTTTGCGTGGCAGGCGTGCCACTTATGGTACTGGGTGGCGCCCTTGGGCCGGGATTTGGCGCCGGGGCGCCGCGCCACTTTGCGTGGCAGGCGTAGCACAACCTGACATCCACCTTCGTTTCACGTGGCAGGCGTGGCACAAACTCACATCTACTGTCGTTTTGCGTGGCAGGCGTGCCACTTATGGTACTGGGTGGCGCCCTTGGGCCGGGATTTGGCGCCCGGGGCGCCGCGTCACTTTGCGTGGCAGGCGTGGCACTTGGTGACATCCACCTTCGTTTCACGTGGCAGACGTGGCACAAACTCACATCCACCATCGTTTTGCGTGGCAGGCGTGACACTCATGGTACTGTGTGGCGCGCTTGGTCCGGATTTGTCGCCCGGGGCGCCGCGCCACTTTGCGTGGCAGGCGTGGCACTTGGTGACATCCACCTTCGTTTCACGTGGCAGGCGTGGCACAAACTCACACCCTTTCACACCCAACTTTGTCACCCACCATCTTTCACGCACCATCTTTCACACACCACATTGTCACCCACCATCTTTGACACACCCTCTTTTACACACCATCTTTGTAACACACCATCTTTCACACACCATCTTTTACACCCAACTTTGTCAAACAGCATCTTTGACACACCAAGTTTCACACACCGCTTTGTCACACACCACTTTGTCACACCATCTTTCACCACACCATCTTCCACACACCATCTTTCACCACTCCATTTTTCACACACAACTTTGTCACACACCATCTTTGACACACCATCTTTCACACAGCACTTTGCCACAAACCGTCTTTCACACACAACTTTGTCACATGCTCTCTTTCACACAGGACTTTCACCCACACCATCTTTCAGCACACCATCCTTCACACACCACTTTGTCACACACCATCTTTCACCACACCATCCTTCACACACAACTTTGTCACACACCGACCATCTTTCGCCACACCATCTTTCACACACCACTTTGTCACACACCATCTTTCACACACAACTTTGTCACACACTCTCTTTCACACACAACTTTCACACACGCCATCTTTCACACACTGCTGTGTCACACACACACCATCTTTCACATTCCACTTTGTCACTCACAACTGTTTTAACTTCTCGATCCTTCACCGCCTCCTTTCCCCTAACCTTCTTTCCCCGTCCCTGCTACAACCTTTCATGCTTATTATTGGAAGAAGTTGACTTGTGGGGTCATCCGGTCCTTTAATTGGAATGAATCTCATCTTGTTAGGTGGTAGACATGGCCGTTTTTTTGATGATTTTTCCAGTGGGTGATCTCCTCCTCCCGGGGAATCCAAGGTGAAGCAGTACCTGGGGGCACTTAAGGAGCTGGAGGGGAAGATGTTTGGGATGGCCGACTCTGACTGTTGGTTATGGCATGTTATGGCCAATGTGATATTGTTTCCTGTCCTTAAATGGTAAATTCATTCCTGGGATGGATGGATTGTAGCCAAACAACACGATTCTTGATTCTTATTCTTTTGCAGATTTGAGCCTACCATTGGTCTCAACTTTAGAGAGGAACAAACGACCAAGCTGTTCTCCACAGCTCCAAACTTTGGGCATCAACAAAGCACTGCACCAGGAGCGAGTGGATGTCAATGTGCTGCGGGATGCTGGTTTCGGGCGAAAGGGCAGGTTTCTGCGGGGAGCTAAGGCGGGGCGATCCCATCGCAACAAAGCGGGGGTAAATAAGCAACGACTATGGCACTACGGGATCTATGGGTCTGTCCATGGTGCAGTTTTTCACCTTGTTCTTAAGCAGTGAAGACTCAGTGAAGACTTGTTTTTGGCAGTTCCCTTCGATTTGGATGACCGCGACCGGATCCGCTGGGAAGGTTGAAGCCCTGGAGAGATTCGTGAGCCTTTCCAAACCAATCCGCGCCAGAGTGATGCTGGCCCTGAGGGAGTCCACGAAGGAAGCCTGCTAGGGCACCAGGGGTACCTCAAAATCTCATGGGTCATCATGATTGCATCATTTTCCCAATTCAAATTGCCATGTATTGGGTGAACAACTTCTGCTTCGGATGAAGCAGATGAGGTATATAAAATGTGGTATCAGATACACAGACAAGCATGGGAGATTTGTCGTCGTCATCATCATCATAACTATGGCTATTACAGTACATACTATTATATATATATACACACTATTTTTGCCACTCTTTGTACTATTACCATATCGACGATATCACTATGATTTTTATAAGTTATTCGTACGAAGTCATTGTTCCGCCCTCCAGGACGCGGCCTTGTCAGACCCCGACATGTGGATCTGCGTGCGCGAGCGCACGGGGCGCTTGATCGACCTCTTCTGGGACGACCTCACGCTCTACCTCGAATCCATGGTATTTGATGCCAAGGATTCATTGGGCCGATGGGGATGGGGAGGCCTACATTTGTCACATCTCTTAGATGGGTGGTAGACAAAGATTTTTCCGGATAGTGGGGGTAGATGTATGCCGATGGCTGAAGTATCAGTTAGTCAATGTCCGAAGGCTTGGTGATTTCGTATCTCATATAATCATTGCTTGAGTTTATGTCATTGGAACATTTCACCCTCCAAAGGAGCAGCTCTTGAACCGCGCCGCGGACCACAAAGTCCTGGCAGAAATGGGCAGCGAACCAATGTGTTGCACACCCAGCTGGTTCCGAGCCAAGTTGCTGTACAACTACCTGCCCTTCGATTTTTCGATCTTCGGGCAAATCAAAAGTCCGCTCTTCCTGTTGTTGACCCTGCTGTCCATCACCCCGATGTTCGGAATCCGCGTGGCCTTTTTCACCATCATCCTCATTTGCATTGTGGCAGGGCGCCCACCGGATGAATATCAGCTGGTGACCTTCATTTTGATGTTCAAGGGTGCACAGTTTTTGTCTTCAGGCGTCCTCATGGCTTGCGTGGCCGCTGTGAAATACTACATGTGCGTGAAAGCTGATGGGCACCACACCTGTGACACTGAGGGGCCGGGAGTTTCTCAAGATCTGGTGACGAGTTCCGTGGATTTTTTCGGCAGTTGCTTCCTGGTTTGGATCGCCTTTCTGCTGCTGCCCTGCAGTCGCAGCTTCGGTGGCACCAGGGATTTGGTCGAAGATCCGGAATCCGCTGCCGTTGGCTCCGGCTGTTGTGAGGATTATGACAAGAAACGTGGTGGACGGCTGACGGGGTTACTGGGATATGACCTTTGTTGCTTCCTCTTGAGTTGTGAACTCGGCTGAAATGGCACCTTTTTTGGCAAACAAGTAGTTCAAGATGACGGGAAATCTCGAAATGTCAGTAGGAACATAGCACCTACAAATCGGGGAATTTCATGGAATTTCCAGCTCACTAGTTTGATTGGTGGATATTGATGGGTTTGATTGGTGGATATTGATGGGGGTGTTTGGCTCGTCCATCCCTTTCTCAAACTCGGATTTTACCGAGAGCAGGGCATTTGACCATCTAACTTGTGGTGTTTTCCCGTAAGACCAACCCAAACAGGCAAGGACTGGCAAAGACCACAATAAAGCTAATAAAACAACATCTCGTCTTGTTTTCATTACAAGATAAGATAGACGATAGAGCTTTAGAAAATCAGGATTCATTCCTATGGTTACCACATGTTACCACCTAATGTGCTTTACCGGCTCACCCTTGTCCCATCTGCTGGGCTCCCGCTGATCCCTCCGAGGTGCCTTGATCTACGGCCTCACCATGGTGGATCTGGCCTCCACAAACCACGCGGATCTGCAACGCGCGGCCACCGACAAAGATCTTTGTCAATGGGGGTGAAACAAATCCATGGGGGTAGCCCCAGTTATCATCCCAAAATTAGACCATTTTAGTATTGACACTTCTGGTTTTGGGAATCCCCCAAATGGGAATCATTTTGGGAACCACCTTTTTTTGGCCCCAAATGTATTCACTGCCAGAGTTTAGACCTTTTGAGTACTACAGGTCGACAGCCACACAGCCACGGCGAAACCATGGGTGCTTCACCGTGCTGAGGATCTGCTGCTGTCAGATCTGCAGCGCTGGCAGTTCCGCTCGCGGGTCTTCTTTGGAAGGATCTTGCAAACCTGGCGATGGATGGGGGGTGAAGTAAATGGGGGATGAAGATGGGTTGGGTGAGGTAAATGGGATAGAACATGGAGATATGATATGATGATATATTATGATGAAACTATCAGAAGTGGGGAGGTTGGGATGGATGATGGATGAAAATGGTGGTTTGATACTATCAAAATTATGTCTTTCCCTTGGGAATGTGGATTGTAGAGGGGTGGTCATGCCGATTTTCTGACAAAGTCATGTTGGCGCATAGATGGTTCGATGGTTAAAGTGGGAAGCCAACCTATTTTGTTTTCAAGGTCGTGTGGTGATTTGTCTGAAGTATATACTGTAAGTGGGTAGAACGATCAATGGATTCAAGTTGTGAGGCATTAAGTATATGATAAAATCATAGTGACCCAAAGGGCATTGCCCAAAGTGATGGTGAGTAGTTGGCAAGAACAAATTTCTTTCGCATGGGTGAGACATTCCTAGTTGACCAGAGAATGGCTGGAAGGTTTATGAACCCATCAATTTCATTGAATTTCCATATTTTGCTGACTGCGTTTTCGAGAAACTGACCCCGCTTTTGCTGAGTGCTGACTGAGGTATGGTTTGTTGTCCTTTCCCTTCATGGTGTTTCAGCTCCCTGTCCTCAGTGGCATTTTGACCCATACGATCCCCACGGGCTACAATTCGCAGGGCCTCTGCGTTCCCTATCTCTTGCGACCCATGCCGGACGCAGAAGGGGACGATGGGGCTGAGTAGCGGCCACGAGTGCTCCAAAGTGAGTCGAAAGAGGGAGGTATTTGGGTGGGAGCGAGGCCTTGTCTTTTTCAGGGGGAGAGTATGAATTGGCAGCTGGAAAACCCAATCCACAAATAGAGCCCAGGTCTAGGAACAACAATATAATAACGGGAGAGAGAGAGAGATATATATATATATATGTAATGGGAATCTCATTTTTTTTTTGCAGATCCCATCGTATGGGTGTGTTTCCGCACTGTCTTGCAGTTTTCTTGCTTGTTTGCGGTGACTTGAAATGGCAGATCAGCATTTCTGCAACAGCTCTGCCCATGGTGATACTTAGATTTCCCAGTATCCCCACCGGTCCCCACCTCCACTGATGGTTCCATTCGTTTCGCTGGAAGGCCGATCTGCGTTGGCAAGGCATGTGCGAGCTGATGGGCTGCCTGGCATAGCTTGAAGCATGGCTGGCACCTTTCAACTGCGGCATTTCGGCTCGTCATTTGGGTCATCTTGCAGCTGTAAGTCATCAGCTGGGCGGGTTTAGTATAGCTTACAGAGGCAGGCGGGGCACCCTGGATTTGGATTTTCAGGTTTCTTATGACTCCCTACTTTTCGTAGACATTCCGAGTGAGGCTGTTGTTGCCATGTCGCGCCGCACGCGGAGCTGGTTGCCCTTGGCTCTTTTGGCCTTGCTGGCCTATGCCTCTGTGCCTGCGTTTGTTGGAGGCCAGTTTTCTTCAACCCTGACAATCTGCAACAAAAATCGGGCACCTATTACTTGATTCTCAGTGAAACTCCAGCTGGGGATGGTGAACATACCAACCATTGGACCATTTCTGTTAAAAAAATTACCACCCCATCCAGGTGGAGTTTCCTCCCGGCCAAGCTTCGAGCGGTCGAAAGCTTCCATCGTGCCGGCCTCATGGGCGCGTGTCAACACACCATTGACATAACCTTTTCATATTGATCAGTGGCTTATAATGATTAATCGTACCATTAGTTGTCGGGATTATAGATGATTATATACATTTAATATCCCCCAAAAAATGGAGGTTTAAGTCTCATATGTAATTAGGATGGAAATCTATGATGGAAGACTCTGGTGGGATGATGGGACCAGCTGTGAGGCGCGACCTGCTACAAAGGATCTGCAGCAGGTGCTCTCGCGCCTGGTCGATATATTCTTTTGGAAGGGATGCCCATGGGGAAGCACACAACAACTTGAGGGGAGTGTTTCTCTCAGTTTTTTGAAGGCAGGGTGTTGGTGTTTTGCGCGAATGGGTTCCTTCAGCCGGTGGATCTGATCCAAGCCCAAGGAAGATCAAAGACACCATCTCCGAGGGTGAGTTTGGCAAGCGCGGGGAGGAATATGTCGCTGCCCAGGCCCAACTTCCCCTCCAAATTCTGATGTTGGCGAGGGATGGGAGGGGCTGTTTGAGAAGCACCAGAGAATGGCAGAGATGGTGGGGCAGCTACTTTGTACCCCAAAATCCATGGCCCCCATGGGGCAGTTGGAGCAACAAACATCTCAGGTGTTTCTGATCCTGTGCGTCTTGGTGGGCACTGTGCCGCTCTTGGGTGGCTCCTTATACTTTCTGGCAGGGCCACTCTGCATGGCTGCTGGCGGGGCCATTGTGGCAGCCGCCTTGTCGCCTTCCTGCAACGTACGGGCTGGGCAACCCTAAATTTGGAATTTGAGAAACATGAGCAAGGTGACCAAACAACACAAATCGAGATCAGTCGAGATCTTTATTTTGGGGGAACGATCGAGAAGGCAGGCTATCGGATTTCCGCAGAGCTACTTCTCAGGTACGAGATTGGCGATGGCTTGTCGCCCTGGGTGACTCCTTCAGCAGAGCTTGGTCCTTGGGAGCTGCACAGAATGGCCCAGCATGGATGGCTTCACCGGGGTGGCATTTTTTTGGCGGTGTTATGCCCATTTTTATGTGCATTTCTTGGGCCAAAATTGAGCCTAGAACGGATTCACGGTCTCAAAGACACCACTTTTTCCTCCATTTTTGTGTGAGACATTCGTTCTTCATCTATCTATGCCCATAGATGTATAGAGTTAGAGGGATCTTGAGTCTTCATGCCACCTTACTTGGAAGATTAGGCCAGTCGGCCTCTGTTTCATTGGTTCGTATATTCCGCGATTGTCCCTTTCATAACTTCTTACTGTATAACCAATTAAGTGCATTGCGGGTTACATTACTTTTCATTGCAGTCATACTGTACTGACAGGAAGGCCCAACTTGTTCCCCATGATGTAAGCGGACTTGGATCCGTTGACAGCACGGCCCTTCGAGGTCTGAGCTGAAGACAGGAGGCGTCTTCGAATATGTCCGGCATCCGATCTATGGCGGCTTGCTGTTGCTGTGTTTCGGCATTGCAATCATCAGCAACAGCCCCTTGGCAGATTTGCCGGGAGGACATTACACATGAACGAGGAGATCGATGGGGAATAGGTTTGTGAAATGGGGACATACGGATATGACATGCGTAAATGTATATATATATATTAATTTTGCATATTGATACATATCAAATACAGACAGTATATGCGTTTGTCTACATGCATGTGCATACACATATGTGCTCGCACACACTTGCTCAGAAACAACATTGCGAATTTTGTTGTGGAGTGCATCACACGTGCACAAAACAATCCCTTAAAAACTGCCAGGAAAAATTGGTTGATCCAGCGTGAATTTCAGTGCGAAGTAAACTTTCTACGTCCTTGCTCTGAGGAAGGTTCTGATGTAGCTGAACCAGTTGTAAATAACCAAAAAAGTCCAGAATGCGACAACAGTGCAGAACATCGAAATTGACACTTAGACGGCGTGGAGGTGCTTTGGGTTGAGCCTCTTCCCATTTCTGAAAAATTGGCAGGTACGCATGGCTGATCAGGCGTCTTCGTTGGTGGTAGACTCTGGACCCTGCTACCACCCCCTGCTTAATAAAAAGTTTAGAAGTTTTACATCTTTTCAGATGGTCCACACACACGCCTCGGTGCCGCGAGGCGGTTTTGGCAACTGAGGTCCCGACAATGAGATGAAAATGAAGAAGAAGGGAAATGAGAATGAGGTGAAGGTGACAATGAGATGAAAGTTACTTAACCAGGACGCAAAGAGGGGAACGCAAAAGAAGAGGGAAAGAGCAGACACCAACACATGAAACCTAGCCCAAACCGGGCAACCCTGAAAAGGCAAGGGAAAAGAAAAGCGGAGGCCGACGGAAAACGGACAAAGACCAGCGGAGGAGGGGGAAGACGGAAGCGCCTGAACCAACCTGCCGCGGCGAAAACCTACAACAACCTCAGCACGCGACGGGCCAAACCTACCTGGAGAGAGGAGAACGCAAGAACACATGAAATAGGGGCCCATGGGGAACAAGTTATTGACATGATGCATCCACAACGCATGCAGTATTCGTGATAAGGCTCAAAGGCCCTCGGCTTTCATTTCAACCCCATCGACGGCTGTCAGTATTCAAGTGAATTAGGTGCACAATTGAACCTCACCAACGACCATCAAAAGAAAGGAGAACCATACCTGCAAGAATGTCCTGTTGCCTGTGAAATCATGGTGAATGGCTGCGGGCAGTCCCTTGAGTTCCAGTAAAAGGCCGATTGTTGTCGTGGCTTCCAACTATGCAATTCAGCGAAAAAGAAAAGAGGCCCAGCACAGCGGCCAGTTGTTCAACCAGACGACTTCGACAAGGTGAGAATCGAAAAAAGGCCAGCAGTTCACTTTACTTAAACGAATTACTAATTCAAAAGTGTAAATTCAGACATCGATTTACTGTCAATTGTTAGCCTGGAAAGGCTTTCCCCGAAGGGTTCCTGCCAACTTGACGTATACAGCAGGAATGACACACTTGCTCAGAAACAACATTGCGAATTTTGTTGTGGAGTGCATCACACGTGCACAAAACAATCCCTTAAAAACTGCCAGGAAAAATTGGTTGATCCAGCGTGAATTTCAGTGCGAAGTAAACTTTCTACGTCCTTGCTCTGAGAAAGGTTCTGATGTAGCTGAACCAGTTGTAAATAACCAAAAAAGTCCAGAATGCGACAACAGTGCAGAACATCGAAATTGACACTTAGACGGCGTGGAGGTGCTTGGGTTGAGCCTCTTCCCATTTCTGAAAAATTGGCAGGTACGCATGGCTGATCAGGCCATGCATCACCAGGGAAACCAGAGTGTCTTCGTTGGTGGTAGACTCTGGACCCTGCTACCACCCCCTGCTTAATAAAAAGTTTAGAAGTTTTACATCTTTTCAGATGGTCCACGCACACACACACACACACTAACACTTGCATGAATTCATGGTGATACGATGATACGCCCATCATTTCGCTGTGGCTGGGATCAATTTGTTTGCCACGTCGCCACTCAGGTGCTAGTCGCTTGGTGCTCACTGGCGTGTTGTACTTGGTCCTTGACAAGAAGGCAGACTTGGAGGAGGATAGCCTCATGCAGACTTTCAATGACTATGGCAGCTCTGCGGTCAACTGGGGGCATGAGGATGAACAATTTTTTTTTTTGCGAGAAAAGAGTGACAATAAGTCAGCACTTGGGAGGAATATTTACATGCAAATGTCATTTGCAGATGTCACATATGCATCATCCGGAAAATCACAAGCATTCCAGGCCCGCTCCTCACTGGAGGGAATCCCCATCGATCGAGGCAAGTACCGTGAGAAGACGCCGGGCAAACTTCTGCCGGACGTGCAGCGCATTCTGAGCGCTGAGGCGCCATCAGGAAGTGGATCGAAAGCCACCGATGTGTGACTTGGAAAGTCCTGCTGGTCAGCCAGTTTGGAAAATGGATGAAAATGGAACATAGATGGTCTGTTGATGATTTACCCATCGATTCTGGTGATTCTTGTTGGGTTTGTTTCAAGTGGACGTATGCACATGGTCGGTGCGCCTGGCGCCTTGAATCTGGTGCTCCAAGTCTGACCAGAGCTCGGCGGACACAGAGAAAAAAGTCCTGCTGTGGAACGTGGTTGAAGTGGTTTGAACTGGCGATTTGATACATTTTTCCAAATCACATACTGGATCATACTGGCAAACATCTCAGTGCTTTTTTGATGTTTGACACATGGTGGTGATGTTCTCCAACATTGCGCAAGCCGCGCCAAGAGTAAACCATCCCATACCGGGTCCATTGGATCCCACCTTCCAGGTGATGCTGCGAAGGTCTTCGACGCTGGGATTGGAGCCATCGAGGCTGATGATATTTAAGGATCAGAAATGAATCATTAGATTCACTGATTCAAAAATAAAAATCATTAAAACCCAGCATCTCTTAATTTGCAATCAGTTAGTTTTAATCATTCAGAGTTATTAATTCAATAAAGCCAGCGATTCACTTGGTGATGATTTACATTTAACAAGTTGTGATTCATTAAATGAGGTAATTAGCAAAAAAAGGGGGTTCTGACTCACAAAAATGGAGTTTGACCCAGCGAGCCGTGGTGTTTTTTTGAAGCAAGAAATCCCGATTTCTCCTCGGAGGATCGTTGTTAGGAAAATCACAATCTCCTATTCTGTCCATCTTCCATTTGTGATTGCCTGAGAGCACCTGTCTTCCGCTACACTTCCGTCCCCAGAAGAATTTCCTGTTTCGAATCTGTCTCTCTTTGTCAGAATGACCGGCCCCTACCAGTGAATCCCACAACCAATATCTCCAATATCATCCCTTCCCAACATTCAATAATGCTAGTAATAATAAACCGCCCATAGTTTGATGGTTTATACTACCCATTCATGGTAAATTTGGGGATGGTTTACTACTTCCTATTGCTTTACCAACATGAAACCAGTTCTGGATCCCATGCCGAGCCAAGGACTTGAGCACATTTTTGCTGAGCGCCTGGTATCCCAAGTTGCCCATGGCACCAAAGACCTTTGACCAGGCCCTTTATCATGGCCAGCAGAAGCCGATTGAATCGGATTAAAAAGATCAGCCGTTAGAATTGGAAGGGTTCAGTTTTTAAGGTACTATATAAGATGTACTAAGGTACCCCCAGACAAAAATTGGATGGTTTAGTCTTGAGTCTTGGGCAACTGGTTTGAACTCAAAAATTGAGAAAATGCTTGATTTCGGTGCACGTGGCCCGCTGACCTCTGGATCAAAAAGAGAGCATTCCATCCGATTCCGCCCCGATAAGAACTGAAGCTACATTTCTATCCAAGTAGTCATTCAGACATTTAGCTGATGCACTGCACGGGCATGAGGGAAATCCACAAATCAAAAAAACCATCCATTGGACACCTCCAGAGAGCGACATGTTTCCGTTTCACCGGTGTGCCATGGGAGCAGAACACTGTTGCTGCAAGAATGCAGCTGAAATTCATGCAGAAGTGATCAATTCCGATGTAAGACCCAGTTTTTCACAGCGATCTGAAGATGACCCTGGGCCCAGCAATGTGAAAGTGGCGACGGATATTTCCTTCACTGACCAGCTGGCGCCGGTAGAGGAGGAGGAGAGTGGCCCGAGCCCGAAATCACCGACATCACCGACATCACCTTCAGCTTTTTCAGCTTTCCGTTGGAGAAAGATGACAGAAATGAGCCACATGGAAAGTGACTATGAAATCATGCGGGGCATTCCATTGCATCGAGCACTTCAGCACTCTGAGCTTTGGACGTCCCCACGTGAAATCCAAAGGAGGAATCGGTCGTCTGGAGTCTGGGCTCTTTCGACCAGGGTGTCAAGTTACGACATGTTCTTGTCGCATACCTGGAAGACAAAAGGCAGGTGGAAAGTTCTTGCTTTGATGATGCAAACAGGTTGGCCTCATGCATTGTTGGCTTGGGTGGTCGGGCTGACTGCCATGCTATTTTTGCGAGCTTTTGACGTTGTCAGTGGCCCGTGGGGCAACGGTGCGATTTGGATTGATGGAAAACCTGTCCCAGTGGTCTTGGGCCCATGGATCATCATTTCTGCAGGAGCTTTTCTGGTAGCTGGTCTGCTTTTCTCTCCCTACTTGCCGCTCAAGACGCAGGTGTGCTTTCTCGATGTGGCATGCATTCACCAGGGGCGAGATGACATGTTTGAACGTGGTTTGTACACCATTGGTGGGTGCCTTACAGCTACAAAGGAACTCCGGGTTTTGTACTCACCGGAGTACTTGTCGAGCCTTTGGTGTGTCTTTGAGCTTGTGGGATTTCGCAAAGCAAATCCTGAAGGAAAACTTACAATCTCACCATTATTTGTTGAGCGGTCTGCTGCAATTTGTGCCTTCATTATGTGGTGTGCGGCGCTTGCAGCCATTGCAGGGATTGCTCTCACGGACAGCAGCTTTCGGGAGAGGAATGTTGTGGTAGTGTTTCCTGTTGCCAGTGATATTTCTTGTACATGCTCTGCGTCACAGCTACAGAGAAAAGGGGCGGCTGATATTCGATTTGAATAGTTTTGATGTTGATACATTGGTTTGTCATTCGGACTTTGATCGGGCTTTCATACTCAGTGCCATTGATGCCTGGTACGACAGCAGGGAAGCTTTCAAGGACTTCGTTCGAAGTGATCTTCGCGAGGAACTCTTGAGTCTGCTGCCATCTCCTCACCTTCCTTGTGCCTATGCGGCCTTGATCCTTTCCAGTCAGGTTACTTGGATCTTGGACCTTTCCGTTGGCTTGTACAAAGCTGGTGCGGACATTCGCATCCTTGCCCGTTACTCCCTGGCTTATCTGGCTTTTACTTTGTGGTTTTGGTGCGCATTCAATGGCCTCTTCTACCTGAGTGATAGAACTTCCGAATCTGGTCGCACTCGGCTTTTGGATTGGTTCAAGACACTTGGGGTGGCCGGGGTCATATTTTTATGGACAGTGATCAGTTTTGCTGTTGTTGTAGGAGTCACTCGGCAGTCTGACAGAGTCGTGGGCTTCTTTTGCTACCTTGCTTTCTCAATGATGCTTCCGTTTTTGATTTTGGACACCTTCAAAGTTTGTCGACGACATTGCCCGAAACAGGAGGCAACTCGCCTCTGAAATTTCAACTTGTTCGCTTCGGCTCCTTGTGGTGATGGCTTAAGCCACATCGTTTCAAGTTGGATGGCATGACCTCCAAAAATCCTATAGATGTATAAACATGTAGGTTTGAATTTAGCATCATAAATCATGATGTGCTGTGCAAATTCATACGTGCACGCTGTGGCCTTGACAAAAGAGTCAGGATGCAGCGGCGCGTTGGTTGCTGGCAGCGGCTCAATAATTTGCGAAGCAAAAGTGCGTGACGAAACTGCTGGAGCAGAAAGCCGGCACCAATGATTTGCGCTACTTAGTGCAATGGGGGATACGAGATAACAATTAATATATAATACCCCAACACTATGGATTTCTGATGATTTCAATACTAGGCCAATGTTGAGTGATGTTTGGGGGCCCCAATTTTCATAAACCTTCGTTTGTAGTAATTACTCCCCGTGCTGGCAAAACTGTTCAAACTCATTTTGATTGCTTATCTTATCGCGCGATTCACTAACCGGTGCCGACTGCACGGTTGCATTTGTTTTGCGTAGAACACGGTGTGCAAGGAGGTAGATCGATAGACATGTTAAAATAGATTGATAGCATGATAGATATGCAGACAGATTTACTGTAGATAGATTTAGATCGCCAGCTAGATGGATAGACAACTCCTTTAAGAGCCTACAGGGATATCCCATATGGCCCATATCCCACGGGTACCCCCGAAAGGGGCTCCTCTGACCAAACGGCGGAACGGGGAACGGCAAGGTGTTGAAGCGGCGGCAAGCTCCGGCGACTCTAGCTGGCCTTTGCGACTTGACCGTAGGGACCCGTAGGGATGGCCGGAATCCCGGAATCCCGAAATCCTATGGGTTTCATCATTTTTACCTTTGACACGGCCACCAAACATAGGAAGTTAATGGAAGTTAGGTATGAAACATCCCTCGCCTTGAAACAAGTCCCAAAATCATATTGTTAAGATGGTTGCTGCAGATCTCCCATCATATCTCTTCTATTCACCATTTACACCCTCCAGTAAATTCAGAGTTCAACCCTGAAAAGAAGCTATTTTTAGTGGTTTCACTCCCCCCCAAAAAATGCCAGGGTTGAACTGTTTTCCTTTACCGGTGGGTTACATTGGGTTACCGGGGACCCGAGTCCCTGAGGAACTCCGCCCGGTTCAAATCGAGGTTTTTACGGCCTCGTGACTGCGATGTTTCTGCGATCTCAGCTGCATGGCGATGTTTTCCCATGACGGTTGCTATTCCCCCCGCCATTGTAAGGAATCCCTAATGATTGGATGACCCTAACCCATATAACCCATATGTATAAATGTACATACACACACATATATATATATATATGTCTAACTCCCCAGAATACCCGTGACTCTTCGGTGGTTTGTTTTTTTTCCCATCTATCCCCCCATTGACGATTTCATATGAGGGGGGTTGGCTCAACCAGCGAGGTTTCTGGTGGATCATTTGCAAAGCTATGAGGATGGCCTCTCGAACTTGGACGTCGCTGCCTCAAAAAAACACCCAGTTGCTGGTGGCTGTGGCAGTACAAATAAGTAGATAGATTGGATTAGATTAAGAGTAGATTGGATCGGATAAGATAAGATAGATAGCTAGCTACCTAGCTTGCGCGATAGCTAGATAGGTACAGTAGGTAGGTAGATAGATGGATAGATAGACAGACAGACAGAGACGGATAGAAAGATAGACGATATGTACATTTTCATGCATACACATTGTAAATGTACATATGTGTATATAAAAATGAATCTATCTATCTATCTGTCTGTCTGTCTGTCTGTCTGCCTGCCTGCCTGCCTGTCTGTCTGTCTGTCTCTCCATCCATCCATCCACCCATCTATCTACCTATCCTATCCTATCTATCCTATCTATCCTATCCTATCCTATCTAATCTATCTATCTACAATGAAGACGGAATACATAGAATATGAATATAGAATCAATAATTTCGGCCTCAAAAAGCATCTTCCGGAATCCCCCCAAAAACCTATACATAGAATATTTCTGGCCATCCCTTTTGATCCGGGAAAAGAATTTTTCTCAGGTTTATCTACATGGGATGCGAACTTGAGATGGAAAGCAAAGCATATCCCAGGTTGAGAACAACATGTGGTTTGCCATGTTGTAACACAACACTACACTAAGATAGAAACTGCTCAATTGGTAAGACCCCTGTGTGTGCATAATCCTGGTCCAAAAGTTATTGAGTTCTTTTGCAGGTGCCCGCCCGCTTGCGTTCTCTTCTCTGCATACCATTGCTTTTCCTCTCCTTTTTTTGGGTTGCCACCAGTTATCAGCTGCAGAAACCCATACATAGAATATGGATGAACACCGTGCATTTGTCAATACAATGATTGCCTTAATACTTAAATTTGTCAACTTGTGGAGGGGACCCTTTTGTGAACTTCAAATTGTATTCCTTTAATGTAAAGTGTAGTCAAGAACTGGTCAATTTGGGAACCTATTTTTCTTTTCACAATTCTGATCCAACAGTTATTGACGTATTGTTTTTTTGCAGGTATCCGCTGGCATTCTCTTCTCCTCCCCTTGCTTTTTGTTTTTCTGGGATGTTTATTTGGGCTGCCATCAGTTCTCAGCTGCAAAAACCACATAGAATATGGATGAACATGGCGCATTTGTCACAATCATTGCCTTAAATTTGGCAATTCGTGGAGGGATCCTTTTGTTCCCTCAATCCTGATCCAAAAGGTTACCCAAATTTCCCAACAAATGTCCAATCTGCTGGGTTTCACACATGTTTTCGATAAGGAAACATCGTTATTCCTATGGTATTTGCTTTGGCCCTGTTTATGCACTCCAAAATTCTACCCCAAATATTCCCCAAATATTCTAAGTTTTTTTTTCTGTCCACACCCGAAGGGTTGAAAAAGTGCAAATTCTATGTAGTCGGTCATGATTATATATATATACATACAAATGAACTGAATATATGTATATATATATATATATCAGGTATATATACATATCTACACAAACATATACATGTATGTTTACATATAGACATGCATATGCACTTACATTGAAGATATTGACGTATATTGCAAGCCTAGGAAACCTACCAGACATGCACATATTTTGGTTGTACGGTTGTGTATCAACACCAAGGATGCGCTGACACTCCTCGGTGGTCGCTGGCATCTGGACTTCATCCGTCCCTGTGGCATTGTTTAGCTCGGGGCTTTGAGCTGTTTGGGTCTTGGACTATGATGGAGAAATGATTTTCCCCATGTTTTGTACCGATTTTTTGGTGTGTGTTTCGTGAGGATTGATTACAGAAGCCATTTCGTTAGTGTGCGAATGGATCTCCTGTATGGTGTTTTTAATAAGGAGGGACGATGAGCAATCCAGTTTGGGAGAGGCTTGATCCAAAAGTTTCGAAGCTCCACGGATGATGATGCCTTAGGGTCCAGACTTGCAACTGTGGTACCTTCATACGCCGCATGAGGAATGCTAATGGTGTTGCCAACGTTTGGGGTATGTATCGGCTCCACAAGATAGATAATTGAATGCTTCAGAGAATCTTCAATTTATAGGTGGAAGTTGCATCCCGATTTTGACCCAGAACCATATTGAAGCAACTTCATAACTTTTAACCAATGGCCATAATTGAGTAATCTCCATGCGATTTGATCAGTTCGGAGCCACCCAGGTGAAGCCACCTCGTGGCCCTTCGGAGCTTTGGTGCCTCGGTGGCTTACCCTCATGTATCTGGTATTTTTTCATGTATCTATGTAGATCTATGTAGTATGTATAGTTGACATTTAAATATACACCTATGTGTATGATTAAATCTCTCTCTCTCTCTCTCTTTCCTCTCTCTCTCTCTCTTATTTTATATATATATATATACATGTGCATGCGTAAATCCACTTACTGTACTTGATGGCCTTTTTTTCGGCTAGGCTTGGTAGACTTGGTAGACCCCGTTTTTGAACAAATCCATCCAACAGACCAAATAGTGTTGAGTGACTAAACGAGCTGCTATTGTTCCTGCAGATTTTCCCTTGGACAATCCATTGTTCCTACCAATCATCCTCCAACGCCACGCGGCCGCCTAAGGACATCCGCATGAATCGCGACCTGTTGCGACGCTGGCTGAATGCTACCAGTTTCCTAGCTGCAGGGAGAGGGGTGTCATTGGGAGCCCTTGGAGATCCATGGGTTGAAAGCTGGGGTCCACATACTGAAACCCATGCACTTGGATTTAGTTTTTATGATTGATTTTCTTTTCTAACTAATGGCTTTGCTGTAGATGGGTTTATCACATCACATCCAACTAAGTTTCACATTTAGCGGCGGATTATCGAACCGCCAAATCTTTCGGGAGTTAAACATATTTCAAATTTAAACATCATTCTGGAGCTGTGCACCCCCCAAAATTAAAGGTGACAGAGGAAATACATAGACATAGACCGCACCATGTGAGCCAAGGGCCAAGGGTATGTAATTATGCTTCCACTGCGAATGGAAGGGGGTTTCGATATTTCTAAGACCAAAATCTAGGCTCGGAGTTTTCCATGATTTTCCTCCAAGAACTAGGGAATTCCACAAATCCACCAGGTTGATGTTCTTCCCCCCCATCGTGGTATGAAAAAACACATCCTTTGACCCTGTCCTGAATTCCTGTTGACGACATCCCCGAAGTTCTATGCTTTGCAGTGGAATCCCTCTACTCTGGTGTTGCCTCTGTTGAGTATGAAACCGATTATACTGGTAAGGGTTTCATACTCAACAAAGGGATCTATCATAATTCCCTCTGCATAGTATGTTATCTCTGCAATCAAACGTGGTAAGGGAACATCATCTATCAATGGTGGATGTCCCAGGGCTTGCACCTGACATGGCCAACATGACCCAGCTTGCAGGCCCAGCGTCACCAGACCCGCCAGCGTTTCAGAGCTCGCCGTTCAGCGGAACGCGGGACCCCGCAACGGGAACGGCAAGGGCGGAGGCCTCCAGCGTTAGCACCCAAGCCCGACCAAAAAGGATCGAAGATCCAATGATTTAGCTTCCTCTTGAAAGGAGAATCTCACGCTGGGTGTATTTGGTGAAGCATTTGGACTCCAAGTGAAGCCCAAAAGCAGGCTTCTCATGATCCAGCTGAAGTTGCGATGCTAACTGCGGTATACATCACCATTCCACATCACCATCCCCCAAATATTCCCAAATCACCATTTTCATAGGTGGTATGTTTACCATTCCCAGTCATGGCTGGTTTATGGCATTGTTTTATCCACATTATAGTCATTTAACAGGTGTTAGCCATTAACACTTGGTGATCTACTTGGATACAAGTGATAAATGATGGTTGGTTGATGCCATTTATTTATTTTTGTCATTATCATATTCCATAAGTGGTTATAATTCATTGTTTATGGGTTATAAAATCACTATGCATCACTATTAATCACTATTAATCACTATAATCCAGCTTCATTATTATCATAAGTATCCAGCTATTAATCACTATAATCATTATTAATCGCTATTAACCACTATAATCGTTATCATAATGATGGGCCACTATTAACCACTATTAACCACTATTAACCACTATTAACCACTATTAACCACTATTAACCCACTATTAACCATCATCATTAACCATATATTAACCATTATAATAACCATATATTAACCATCCACATAACCAGCCATATAAGTATCATGGGCTTTAAATCCAGCTGTGGTACCTCTGATCCGAGGAGCCCCGTCCTGCCTTGGTGTCGCCAACGCTGTCCTGGCGCCGCGTGGCTCTCCAGGGCGCCTCGGAGATCTGCCCCGACCGAGAATCAACGGGGAGTTGTCCGAAAAGATTGGGGGGGTCTATGAATATCTTACATATACAGCATATATACATAATGTGAATATATAGATAGATAGAGAGAGAGAGAGAGAGATAGATAGATAGATAGATATATATATATATATATATAGACATACTGCCCAATATATATATATACACATATACTGCCCGAAATCGATGAGTTTATGACTCAAAAGGCTGCATCTCCAACAAACCAACCAAATCATCCAACAAAATGTGTTTGGACAAACTAACTTTCCCTACCAGTTGATGGCAGGTTTCCTGCGAACATGTTCCAAACACCCAAGGCTGGCACCGGTCTCGAAGTTTGGGTGTGGTGGTCTTTGGCGTGCACTCCACACTGGCGTCTTTGGCCGCAGTCCCCACGAAAACAAACCTCGTGGCTCCCATCACCAAGTTTCCGGTCGCGACCCTCAGATCTGCCGTAAAGCCTAACAGTTAACTGGGCACCACCTTGTAGCACCGAAACCCTGGGGATGGTGAAAAAATGGGCTTTATCACCCTAGAAATATTCATAGAAATATCCAAAAAAATCCACTGTGGTTAGGTTAAATCACCCATTGATAGATGGAAATCATGTGGGCCACGGGGATTTCCCAGCTTGCCATGTTTGAGGACAGCGGAGGCTATAAATCCATAGGAATCAGTGCAAATCTGATCTTGTACCTTAATAGAGAACTAATAAATCCATCCTAAGATTTTTATAATCCATACTAATATACTACTAATATACTACTAATATACTAATATACTAATATACTACTAATATACTAATATACTACTATACTAATATACTAATATACTAATATACTAAATACTAATATACAAATATACTAATATACTAGTATACTAATATACTAATGTGCTAATATGCTGGTACTCTATACAACTAAAGGCGAACTAATCCACAGTTGTGAACCAAAAATCCTCGCTGAGGTCCTAGAACCTGCCACCATGCTAAAGGCGGCCTTGCGCTTCTGGCAGCTGCAGGTGAGGCGAGGCCAATCGAAGAACATGAACTGATGGTTTCAATGGGAAAGCCGACCAGTTGAAAGGGTTTACTTACCAGTTTCATAGCATTTTATAACATCACATTTTTATAATCCAGGAATCCACTTACATAGTTTATTACCACATTTTTATATCCATAACATCACATTTGGTTGGGATGTGGCAGCAAGTAGGGTGGCTTTCCCAGAATTGGTCGAGTCAGGGGGAAAATCGACATACCAAGCCATTGAATCACTTTGCATCTTGCCTGGGGCTAAAAACCAATGAATTACCAATGCATTAAATAAATAAATAGATAAATAAATGAATTAATCAATATATATATATATATGTGCACACTCATATGTTACAATATTAGTTTTATAGTGCAACTCTACGGTTTGTCTGCATACTAGCATAACCAATATTCTACCATGATCTAAGTCTTATATATAGTTCATCAACCACTATATCTACCAACATAGACATGGACAAATATGGTGTACCATCGGTCAAGCCAATTAAACATTTTCTATATCCTTATTAAGAAAACTCTGTACAGTCCATATCTTGGGTACACTCCGGCAATCAAAGATAGCAATAGAATTTCCACCATTGATATATGCACGATTTGCAGTGGAAACAGCATGATCACTGGAATTTCCATTTTCAAAAAAACACGGGGTGTTCCAGAATCTCTTTTTGCAAATGAAACATTCTCCACATCGAACTGTGGATCCAGTGATTTTCGCCAGGATCTTCATGCGCGACTGCCCTCGTGGCAACGAGGCCTGGGCACATCACTGCCTGCTGCAGTGCCAAGCCCTGGGTGAATGCGCGCCGTCCTCGGAAGGTGGGGAATCTGGAAATTTCTTGATGCACCAATTTTGAGATGAGTTTTTTCTGAACCAAAATACACAAAAATGGAGGGTGCACCAGTTTTGGAGCGAATTGTTGGCCTGGGAAGTTGTTGAAAACCATGCGAAAAAAAAAGGGCACCTTTCTCTATGATACCCGTACCTAGACGAGGCAATAAACTTCCGAAACCGTCAGATGTCCTTACTAGTTGGACACTTTGACCGCCGCCTTCCCACTTGAAGCACTGCCTGTGTAGATTTCAGATGCTCAATCAGCGACACGTTGTGTAGAGTAGATCGCAAGAGCGCCAAGCTTTGATGCGCGCCTATGGGAGAAGTCAGCTCGAAGCTTGGCGATGGCCTCCAGTTGACACAGAAGGTGACCAACAAGCAACCAACCATTGGAAGTGGGGATCATTTTTCCTCATCCTACAAGGGTATACCATGGTATACCCAATAATTTTGTTGAACCCTACTTGGGATGCACATGGGCCCCCGGCATCAATCTGAATGCTTCACGAAAGTCCACGAGTTTCGGGTAGACATGGTGATGAAAACCCCACGACTTTTAGACGATTCGATCGTTGAAAGTAGGGATTTCCGAGTCCTAATCATTGACAAAACAAAACAAGTAATTGGATACCATACAGATTCACACAGACACACAGATGCACATTCATTTGTGCATGTTTGTGTGTGTGTGTGCGCGCAGCTTGTTTTTTTTTTTTTGGGTATATATATATATTTGTATTTATGTATTTATATATATATATATGCATATATATATAGAGGTAAAGATCCAGTTGCCCTTAGATGATGCCTCCAAACTGGCTCGCGTCAAGTGTCGTCTCAGGAAGTTGGGAGGGGTAAAGACCAAGAAGAAGAAGTCCATGAGGAAGACAGCAACGTCCAGAGCGTCAAGCGCTTCAATCGCTCCAAGGTGGGAAGTCTACCATCCCGGGAAAAAGTTGGGCATCGACATCCAGAGGTTGATATAGTGGGATATACATACACACACAGATATACATATATATATACATACCTATATGTATATGTATATATATATACATATAGGTATGTATATATATATATACATACATATAGGTATGTATATATATATATATATATGCATATAATAGTGGGACAACAACAAGAGAAATCGCAACATGGGCTCCATCATAGAAATCTTCACCACTGAATCTTCGGAACCAGGTCCAAAAACACCATTCAAGCTGTTTGGGACAGTTGGTTCCCTCCATTGATGGTGATGAAACAAAAAACATGTGTGGCAGGTTGAATTTTCACAATGTTTGATTTAGCCACTTGGAAAGGAAATATGAAATGAAACAGAGCGGAACGATTGCGGAACTGATTGAAGCAGGAAACACCATCGAAGTGGTGCAAAACAAGAGATCCTCACAAGTCATCGGGTTTGGTTTTGTTTCCTTTTGGACCTCCTTTTTCGGTCCCGGATGAACTCATGGAATATCAGAATTGCAATGAATTGATTATTTGGTACTTTTTGATTAATTATTTGATCTCATGACTTGTATCCGCAATTATTCGCGTGAATTGTGTCTCCGAATAAAACTGATTGTTTTCAGACCCCAGTTTTGCCCCAGATCGCACAAATCACCCAGGGAAGAGGAGGAGGAGGAGGAGGAGGAGGAGGAGAGGCCAGCCAGGAAGTCTAGGCACGGATGTGGATCGACAATTGCTTGTAAAATTGCGGGATAGATCTGATTGGATTTGTTCTTTCTTGGTCTTTACACAACATCTATGAATCTATATAGTTTGGGCAAGGGAGCTGTGTGATCATGCCGCGGTTATCCCCCACACTGGGCCATACGTATCTCTGCATCTTCTCAGAACGCGCAGAACCCATCACAAAGACAATAAACATATATAAACATAGTCTACTTATATAGTATATCTTTAGTATCTCTACTTGAATAATTAAACTATGTTTAACCATATTTCACAACATTTATAGCTGCAATTAACTACAACGAACATTTAACGCAATCGAACTTCTGCACGGCAGGTTGTCCGGGCTCGGCGGCTCCGTTCGCCAGTCGCTGTTGTCGCTGCTCAAGTGGAAGGCCGCGCTCTCCGACGTCCCCGAGGACGTGGAGGCCGAGGCGGCCGCGGCGCGGGAGAGCCCAACCCGACGCGGCGACTTGGCGCCGTTGGGATTAGCCTAGGGGAAACATACGAAAAGATGTGGAAAAACATGGAAAAACGATGGTTTTTCCATGTTTTTCTCTAGGTAATCTAGAAATGGTTGATTTTCCAGATTTTTGTTAGTTTATCCTAGAGGAATAGTAATTATTGACCCATTATGCAACCCTTATTAATAACACTGGTTAATGGCTTGAATATCTTTAATAACTATATAATAGTTATGGCAAATAATAGTAAATAATATATAATGGTTGACAACAAACACATGGTGAATAGTTCATGGTTATAAATTGTCAGTGATAATGGTTAATAATGGGATAGTATGGGATATATACCCTCTGGTAATCAGCCAGGTGACACGGGTGATTTTCCATTGCCATGTTTGATTTGATTATATACCGGAGGATAATCCGAATAATAAACCTACCATCTGGGGATGGTTTATCATCATGGGGCTTACCACATTTGGGTGGACACTTCTGGAAGATGATGACCGATGATGAACCAATGATTACAAGCTCTGGATCTTGGGAAATCAAACTCAAGCCATTCTGGTATGAGCACGGCATACAGCACACGCATTTTCTGTGGCCTAGTGGAATCATGGGAAAGGGTTTCATCACATGTAGGTTGTTCACAGGTGAATACTTGCCAGTCACATGGATCCTGACACTGAGAGCGAAGTTTCAGTTTACCAGTCGCATTTCGAGGAAATATGATGACATGTCATGACTTGGCTCTTCCTGACAGCTTTGAGAGATTCACAACAGCAGATGATCTTATCACCAAGGTGAAAAGAACAATGAAAAAGGCTACGGTACATCCAAAAAATAAGGCTTCCAACATTCACCACGCAGATCAAGTTGTAAACTTCTCCTGTGGCCGAAGATGAAGTGCATTTTAGAGGTGACCATACAGCTGGTTGATCTGGTAGCCGCAAATCCACTGGTTGATCATCATTTCTCTCGCCCGTTCGGAACGTGCACCCACTGGGACAAACCCCAAAGTGGATAATGTCAGTTTAGTGCCAGTTTTTCCTCGTGTTTGATGCTCATATTGAGAAACTCCCAAAGTCGGACTGACAAAACATATAAACTAATGTAGAAACAGCATTAATTTCATAGAAATTCAATTTCAATTCAAACAACATATTAAAAGCACTTGAGTTCAGATAACATCATAATAGATCATATTCAAACCATATAAAATCAAATAACATCATATAAAAATGCATTCAAATTCATATGACATCATATAAAATATAATATTTTATAGTATTTTAACACATATAAAATCACTATCACCATGGAAATGATGCTCACCATCTAATTATCTCCGGCATTTGTTGGATGGTTTTCCAGTGCCTCCAAGGCCCCGAAGACGACGGCCATGGCGCCGATGGCGGCGCCCATCCCTTCGCACCGATCCATCCTGAGCTCTCGTGCAGAAGCTCCGCCAGCGCTGGGGGATAACATTTCCGATGCAGACATAGATAGTGATCGGTTAAATATCCCATGATATTACTATCATATAAATATATTTTAATGACATATCTATGTGATATAATGTGATATATCATATTGGGATATTTCTGATTATCATCTATATCATTTATATCATCTACATCATCTATATCACTATTGGCTGGGATATAAATGAAAATATTTGCATTTATATTTATATTTATATATGTACACACACACATATATATTTCTAAATAATTTATCAGTATCATTTTTTTCCTCAAACCATATATATATATATATACATATTTATCACTTATGGCTGGGATGGTTTATCATTGAAAACATGGGATATTCATCGCAATTAATGATATTGATTCTATTTGTGGCTGGGATGGAAAACACACTTCTACTTTTTGGGGACTATTATGCATATGTGAGGATAGCAATTTAGCCACAGGGAATTGGACTGTAGACTTGCAGGCTTTGACAATGAAGTTGATCGTGTGAAATGATGTTAAAACACATGGGGCAGCTTCCAACCATTCGAAAGCACGCAGCCAGAACGCAGCCAGATCAGCACATTTCACCATGGGAATGAGGATTCCCTGAACCACCGGTGTCGATAAAATGCGCAACCTTTCCTGAGAGCAATAGTGGTGAGCCCGTGATTTGACAATGATGTTGCTGCCATCTTTGGGACTCCGGGTTCTAGCATTCCCTTGGACCAGAAAAGCACGGCCATTTCGCCCATTTCGTCCAACCTGCGAAAGAAAATTCCGGTCCTAAGTTCGACCAACGCATCCCGCCACAAAGTGGCGGATGCCTTCGCCGCCGGGCCAAGAAAAGTGTAGCATCGCAGCAAAAACAGGGCCATGTGGATCCATTTGGCAATCCATCTGGTGTGAAAGTGTGAGAGTACAAGGCATTGTGCTTCCCGGACTCAACAAGACAGGAGAAGAGAACAGCGTTTGAATGGTAGAGACCAACTTTTTCTGCCCCCCCAAAAAGTTTGCCTGTAGCAGCTGGGTTGCTTCAGGCAGTAGCCGACTCTTCGTGGAGCTCATCCACATGTTTGAAGAGGCTATCCACCAACGGAGCCGCTACTACCAGGTGCCACAACTGTGGGGGGATGGCTTCTCTCTGGCACGCTCCAGTAAACAAACCTAGCAATAAATAGAAAATTAGCAACCTGAACTCGTAGATGATTGTGCTGTATATCATTGCATTTGTTTTTTAAACATATGGGTTAAGGACTGTTAAAGTTTTTTCTTAATGTTTGGGTACTGGAGGAAGGAACCACTGGTACGTACATAAGCACATGCATACGTACCAACACGACCTCCAATCCTTGATGATTTTGAGTCACTTGTTTTCCCCAATCGGTGGTGAAAGCGGCACTTTTTCATATCCATCTTTTCCCCTATCACCTACTATCTTTGATGATTCAATCCTGATTTTCCACATTTTCATTTTCTCCCCATTTCTGGTGGATTTCTCTGAAATTGGGCAGGTGGCCGATTATTTGGAGGTCTTGGCCCAGATGCACCGCCTGGATGCAGAGCTCCGGAGGGCACAGCTCTACGTTTGCACGGCGCCCTTGATGACGCTCGCCGGAGTTCAGGATGGGATTTCGGATTTTCGGGATTTTCCATGGATATATATATATATATGGAGCCCATGGGATAAAAATATGGATATATTCATGGAAGATGTTGGGACTGGATATTTCATGGACATTTCAAGGAAGAATTTGGGATTTCCGCGAAAATTTCCATGGACAGGCCAAAGGCCAAAAAATGAGATCTTCATGGAAAAGGTGATTCGTGGGGATTTAAGCAAGCACAGGTACAGAATGGGGAAATTGTGGTATACAAATTAAACACGGTTATTAGATTCTCCGTTGCCAGGGTCACGTACCGGAATATATGTATAAGCTATTGTAATACACATGTATATTCATATATCATTAAGCTGAGAGGATTTACAAAACGATGGGAAGACCGGGCCAAGTAGCCGCAGCCGCACCAGCTTATAGTTGACAGAAAGATACCCAGCATTTTCCGAATCCCCACTGTTTGTAGTAAATCGTCAACCATTTCAACCAGTGTCAACTCCAGGTGCTCTCATCCCAGAGTTGTTCTAAGGGAAAACCTAGCCTATACCCCCATGAATTTGGGTGGTAACCCCCTACGGTGCTCTCCAGCGTCCTCAAAGCCGGCTGAGGTGCAGCTTGCTGCGGGCGGTGGAGGAGAAGCCACTGCTGGTGTATCTGGGGATGCAGCTCCATGTGCACGTGGACAGGTTGGGAGCTGCCCGGGATTACCATGCAGAAAGCTGGTTGAAAGGAGGGAGCTGATTGGCTTTGGAAAGAACGGCGAGTTGGGGATATTTTCTCTTGTTGGGCGATGCTGGCAAGAGCGAAGATTTTGAGAGTTTTTTCTCCTCCCAGCACATGGTTTTTAATGGGGGATTTTGATTAGTTTTGACGTTTAAAGAAAACACACATCAGTCTTTGCCCTTTCTCGGCCAGGCAGATTGATCAGCTCTGGCTTATGCATTTCCAGGCCATGGTGAGATGCTGGGCCAGTCGAATGGTTTTTAGCTGTGTTTGATTTACCAGTCGTGGCCATCAAACAATAAGGAACATGATCATCAGAATCATCAACAATTTTAGGGGCACCCTATTTCAGACAAACCCGCATGCCATGGCTGCCATGCCATGCCTTTCCAAAAGACTGCGCTTGCCGCTGAGGAGATGCCAACACAAATGTCTGGGCAGTGCACAACTTCGCGATGCGGGAACAGATCCGGCCACGTGCTTCCAAAAGTTCCACCCCCAACCTCCCTAGAGTCCTAGAGATCACTGAAAAGAAGGGGCTGAAGTTCTGGGGGCTCGAAACTACCGAAACTACTGACCTGTGTGAATGAGTTGGGAATCGCTCAGTTTTTCGACCATTATCATCATGCTTTTTATGGCACAATGATTTCCCTACGGCTGGTAGTTTGGTCAGTGATTTCCCAGATTCATCGAGGCGGGGACAGTTATTTCTGGCTTTCTCTTGCAGCATAGCATCCCAGAAGTAGTTTAAAGAACACTATAATACAGGAACCCCCGGTCAATTTCACCATGGAAAACCACTCCATGGACAAGAGGTAAACTCCCGATTTCTCATGGCGAAATCAGTTAGATCATCTTCAATCACCATTTTTCATGGTGCAACAAGAAAAAGATCCCTATTGTTCCTCCTAGGTACGCCACGGGTGTGGAGTTGGAAGTGGTGCGGCCCCGTTCGCTGTATGCCTTGGGCGATCGAAGTTATCACAGGCTGGGCTGAGTTCGAATTCTGACAGATTTGGGATATCTGGATATATCTGGATAATTGGGACATTTTTGGATATTTTTGGATATTTGGGGATATTCTCTCAATTTTTCCGGCCATTGGTGTTTTCACTGCGCCGGTTCCCTGTGAATTCGCTGCAGGCGCACCCTGCATCGCCCCAAATGGGATCGTCAAGTGCTCTTCTTTCGAAGCAGTTGCCTGGCCTGGAAGATGTATCAACCATGGGGCACCCCCATGGGGCCGGTCTTGCCATGTTCCATAGAAATGGCAATTTGGGGGTTTTCCTCCATTAAAAAAGAAAAATCCTGAAAAGTAAAACCTAAAGCCCGGACTGGACTGGACAATTTGCATTAGAGGGAAACTTTCGTGTCAGCTTTATCAGCTTTGCCACAATCGCAATCAGAATCAATAATAATACTAGTAATTATATTCTAGTACTACTGTTGCAGATTTGCCATGGAGGGTGCAGACAAAAAAACTAGTACTGCCGCTGCGGCTAGTGCTAATGAGAATGATGATGGCAATAACAATCATGAAGTAGTGATCATCATGATCATCGTTGCCACTGTCCATGCGAATCCAAGGCGCCACGTGGGATCTGAGGTTACTATCGTCTCTCCCTCTTCGTGCAAGTACTTGAGGCAGACAGACATCCATAGCAGAGCATCCCCGAACGCGCGTTCATGAATGCCAGATGTGTCATTTCTAAAGCTCTTTGGTTCTTTCCATATCATGATACACCGATCTAAAAGATAGATAGCTAGATAGATCTACACTTTATATTTACAATAACTAATGTATAATATGATATAATATGCATGTGATCACCTGAAATTTGTGAATCTTGTGAAGAGCGGGAGAAAATGGTGTGAGATTACATACATACCGTACCATACCATACCATACCATACCATACCATACCATACCATACCATACACACATACACACACACATACTCACATACTCACATACACACATACACACATACTCACATACACACATACACACATACACACATACTCACATACAGACATACAGACATACAGACATACTCACATAAAGACATACAGACATACAGACATACAGACATACACACATACAGACATACAGACATACACACATACACAGATACACATACTCACATACAGACATACACACATACTCACATACAGACATACAGACATACATACATACATTTAAAATATCAATAATAAACTATATATATATATATATATGCATAGAACACACAGATATAATATGCATATGCGGTATTTGTACATATATCTAGGCGCATCAGACCGTGTCAGGCCCAGCTTGAGAGCTGCGACTTGCCTCTGCAGCTGCGCTTGGTGAAGGACTCGCAGGACTTCGTGACCTTCGGTGCCCGGCCGGTGGTGAAACCTTGGGACATCTGGTGATTAATGGTGATTAATGATGGTTAATGGTGATTAATGATGGTTAATGATGGTTAATGATGGTTAATGATGGTTAATAATGGTGATTAATGGAGATTAATGGTGATTAATGGTGATTAATGGTGATTAATGGTGATTAATGGTGATTAATGGTGATTAATGATGGTTAATGATGGTGATTAATGGAGATTAATGGTGATTAATGGTGATTAATGATGATTTTACTTACCCTCTGGTAAACTAACATAACGATTGAACATCACCACTAATATATAGGTAAATCAACTATAACTGGGCCATTTTCCATAGCTGTGTGAAATTACCAGAAGGTAATCCTTGCCTCCTAAACATCCATAAAAAGTTCCCAGATATGTGTAGGAAGTTGCTACTAAATGCTACTAAACGATTTTTTTGGTTGTTTAGTATTAGGGGGATGGTTTTTTTTTGGGGCTTATTGGTATAATAATAAACGTGATGCATGGATTATTGGAATAATCATGGCCAATAACAATAACTACAATAACTACAATCTTTATCATGGATTATTGGGAGAATAATTGTGATACATGGTGATACCCATCACCAGCCATGTTGAACAGTGATACATGGTATGATGGCATATTTTTATGGTTATATAATGTTATATATATATATGGCGATTTGCAGCCATAATGACGGGATGTATAGGGGCTCGAATGGGATAAATGGGTTATAGGTTATATACAAGCAACAATATTGGCATATAAACGGGTAATGGTGATAATGTGATAGTGGGGATATCAGATTATCACCAACTTGAGATTATTGTTGGGATTGTTGGGTGTGTTGGAAGATTGACCCTCCAAAAAGAACGTCAATTTTAAATCCGCGAAATCGATTATTTTCCAGTAGGTTTAGGGGTGCCATATTTCAGTCAATCTTTTGGGAATGGAAACACTGCTATGATGTGTTTTTGGCAACCCCTAAGCAGATTCAGAACTAGTTCAATCTACTACGATATTTCGGAATTGTATTTAACTTTTCTACCCTTTTTGGGATTGCTACAGGGGAGCAAAATATAGTATAGTGGCAATGGTAACAACATATGAGGATCCCTCCTTTGGGGAACATGGTGATTGCCATTTGGTGATTAGAACTGGCACTGGAAATCTTTCGGAAGTTGATGATTTCGTTGCTGAAGCAAAGGATTTCCACCATGTCTGTTTACCAGGGGATAGATGATGGTAGTATCTTTGAGCAACCTCAGATGGCAGATGAAGCAAGGAGATATGGGGCCCAGCTAGTCCAGCTAGATGAATTTGCTGTTGGAACAGTGAGGTGAGATGCGGCACTTTCGTGCAGCTGTGCTTTTCCCTTGGGATCCCACTCTCATGGCATTCTATGAGCTCTACCGCCTGAACACGGTGTTGCTGCTCCCCAGGAGTGGCTGGATCTTCAAAGTGCAACACTTCACGGGTTGGATTTGGTCACAGCCCTTGGGTGCTTTGGAATTTGCCCACGTGGCACAGCAGAGACACACCACAGGTGCGGTCGGTGAACCATTGGGGATCGACAAGTTGGGTTCAGAGGTGAGGAAACCTCCGCAAGAACAAAGTTGGCAAAGGACAACATATAATTTCTCATTGTTTCAAATGATTCAACTAGGTCGAAGAACAATCCTGGTTATGGAAACTCACCTGGTTATGGTAAATCATCAGAATCTCAATTTTCTCCCAGCCATTGGTCAGGCAATGCTCCACCCCACCCCTGGTGGCGGCCTGAAGACTCGGACCCCGACGCCGTCCTCTACTGGTGCCTGGGACGTCGCAAACATGGACCGATTTTCAAGTTTTCCCAGGGAATGGGTTAAAATCTACATGGGAACCATATTTGGGGATGAACATCTAGAATTTACAAGCTATTTTGGGGCGAACCACAGGATACCAGGTTCCCAGGCTTTGACCTGTACCATCCCATACCGGTGAGAAGGAGTAAAACTATGGCTCATTCTGAATATTTTCTCGGGACTTCAATGGGTTCACAGTTCACCTTCCGGCACATGTTTCTTGGTGAACGGCTGGGGTTGTACCTTTTAGGAGGAGATATGCTGGGAATCATGGTTTTCTTAATGGATCTTAATGGTGGGGTGCAGCAATTTTGGACACTTCTTGGCCGAGGTACGCTTTCTCTGACTGCCAGAGGTTGCCGAAACTCAGTAGCAATGGCCGAGGAATCGCTGCAGATTCGGATTCCCCCTTTCCTCTAAGTGTATACTGTACTGGTATGTAAATAGATAGATAACACACACACACATTCTAGTAGATAAACAACGCAGACACACACACACACATAGATCTATATTGTCTCTCTCTCTCTCTCTATAAAGATAGATAGATGGATGGATGGATGGATGGATGGATGGATAGATAGATAGATAGATATAGAGCACACGGATCTATATAGCCTATATATATAGTTATATCTGTAGCACACACACACATTTGTATGTATGTAATGTAATGTAATGTAATGTAATGTAATGTAATGAATGTATGTATGTATGTATCTATATATATATAGACATATAGAGCACACACACACGTATACATGTGTATATATATATATATGCATATAGCATATTTGGTGCTCCGTCCCAAGGCACTTGCAACGCTTCGGTTCCTTTGCCGAGCTCTTTCAGCTGCTGCTGGACACGGCGACCCTGCGCCGGGCGCGACGCGGCATGCAGCGGCCTGGCGGCACTGGTGGTCGTGGTCCTTCGCCACTGCCGAAACTCCGAGAGATGTAGCCTCTGAATTTGGTTTCTCGCTGCTGCCTCCGGCACTCTTGACAGATATCGCTAGAGAGAGAGAGGAGCCACAAGATGAATAAATCGAATAAACCTACAGAATACTGAAGCAGTGTTTCTAGGGGGATATTTCATTCTAGGCAAAAAGGATTAATTAGTTTGACTTTGAAGATGTTTTTTTGTTTCTCCCTCTTTTGAGGCACTAGCTGCATCTAAGTGGCTGCTACCCCTGTGCCGTCATTTTAAGGCAGCACAACCGACGCGCCCTGCGTTTGGGGCTGCGGTGGTATCGAGATGCTGCGCTGTGGCTGCTGGAGAAAATAAGTCTGCGGAAGCGGTGTACCGTGTACCCTCTTGTAATCAAATCCATGCTGGAAAATCTTCTGATTAAAACCTCAAGTTCAGGGACCTCCCAGCCATGTTTGATTTACCACTTGGTGCTGTCCTTTCAGGTGACAATCCCAGCATGTTGGGTCACGCTCGGGCACTCGGAGCTGAATCGTTATTTGACAGTGCTGACCCTTTAGTGAAAAACTTGAAGTAAGTAGGCACTTGACACTTTCTTTAGATGATGATGTTGTTGCTGTTTCTTTTCATATTTCATCTATCATGGCTGCAGTGAAAAAAACACACGCAATTTTTACCATTGAAGTTGCTATCAGAAATGCAAGCGGACATGTTCACGAACTATCGTTTTATGTTTGTTAAATCTTATTTATTTTGAAAAATCATTGTTAATTATCAGCAACAGAATTATTACTACAATTGTAATACGTATATAAATATACAATACACATTTTACATGCATAATTTAATAAATTGTCTATATATACATATTTATACATACACATATATACAAATACTCATGATAATGATAATCATAATATTAATGATAATATATAATGTACAAATTACAATATACATATATATTTACAGTAATATATATATATGCATATTGTAATTTGTACTATACATATACATATATCCCTTACACTCACACATATACAAATAGATAGCAAGTAAAACACACACACACAGTCATATATATATATATATACACATACATGTAGACATAAATAGATAAATAGATATACATAAAAAGATATGTATATATATATATACATAAATGATCAGACATACATAAATATATAACTAAATAAACAAAATCGTATATATATATATACATACATAAGTAGATTAAATAGATGTAGCAAATTAAATACGATTACATAAATATAAATGAAAGGTGGCCTCACGGCCATCCCAGGCCTGTCGAAGTCCACCGTGCTCACGCGATCCTAAGTCCTGCAAGAGTAACGGCAACTGTGGGAGCGCCCAGCGATGCCGCGGATGTCGGAACGGTTAACGTTTCTAATGGGGAGATAATGGGACATTACCCTCTGATAATTTAACGTAGCTATTGAAAATGGCAATTTTATAGTTGATTTACCTATTTAAAATGGATATTTTCAATAGTTGTGTTAGTTGACCAGAGGGTAATGGCTTGTGTTTAATGGCCAAAAAAGGATTGCTTAGTGGTTATATAGTCATGATTCATAGTGGGATGGGATGATGGCTTCATAATCCTGTTAGCTAAAAAAAAGGACTTTTTAGTGGGACAGTAGTGGGATGATAGGGAACAAACAGATGTATTTTATGGAATATATAAATAGGGAATATATATATATATATATATAGACAATGAATGATAATGGTAATCATTAAATCCATATTATACGGGGATAATGATATAATTAATGATAATGATATAATTAGTGATAATGTTTATTTATGGGGAACATTTAGAGGCTAAATTTCTGGTCCATTTTGGGGTTAGTAACTGCCTAAAAAACCACAATGGGATCTAATCATTTTCATATGGGATTTCATGGCTTGACATGGCGGGCCGCTGGGAAATCCCCGAATCTTTTGGAATGGCAAATGTGGATAATACTGGCGATATCTGGCGATATGACTGAACGACTTGAGGATGATATAACCAAGCGAAAATGGGGCTGTAATTATTCAGAACTGGGGGGTAGCAGTTGGGCGTATGGCCAAATTGATAGCTGGTAGGGGCCCATCATGGCTAGCTGGACCTTTTCATGCTTTCATGGCTCCTGGTCTAACTCTATAAGGAGGGTACCATCATGCCCCATATACAGGGTCCCCCCAAAGAATAAAAACACATCCAGGATGTTATGAGCTATCTATTCATTTATTTATTCATTCATTTTTTATGCATGTCTTCATTTATTTCTTCATTTATTTATTTATTTATTTATTTATTTATTCATTTATTCATTTATTATTGCTATCATTCTTGTTATTAATAATATGCTCACATTATATATGATGTTTTCGCGCATATCATTTCCAAGTGTGCAACTTTTGGGGGTTGCTAGACTTTCACCCCCCAGGTTGCGCAGATCTGATGTTCGAGATGCTGGTGGACTTCAGCAACTTCCTCCGGAGGAACAACGTGACCTTCATGCTCTCTGAGGGAACGTTGCTGGGTGCGGTGCGCGATCAGGACCGGAGGCTTGGCTGTCCTCAATTGGGGCTGGTATTCCTGGTCAATGTGGGGTTGTCAGGACATCATCCCCTACACTGCTGATTTGGACATTTTTGTGCCCAGGGAAGGCGGGAAACTGCAGAATTTCAGGCGGAGGGTGTGTGCAATTTGGTTTACGATCGAGACTTGGGAGCTCCTTTCTGAAAAAACACTTGGGAGTTCATTTCTGGAGCCAAGATCCGCTCTTTGCAGCACTTCTTGACCAATTTCCAAGGCTGGGAGAAAGCCATGCTCATTAATGAGGTGCCCAGTGCCCGGGTGTTTTTCTCTGGCTGAGACGGGGCACAGTACCTGGTGGCCATACAGGGCCATTCCCAACGCTGCGAGTTTGGCAGGAGCCTCCCGCTTCCAAGTCCTATCACTTCATGGTTGCCGGCAACTCAGTGGAGATGGTGGCAAGCATCCAAGCATCCCCGCAAACATATGGCAAAATATACAGAATATGGAACATATATGAACATATAAGGAAAACCATGTAAAATATGAAACGGAATGAAACAGATAATATGGGAAAAAGTATTAAATATGGAAATACGATCCAGAAACTGGGCGACTTAGTGGGAGATTCGATCTTCTGCAGGGTGAGCGGGGGCTTTCCACTCACATGTTGTGCAACAGGATCCGGATCAACCCCATTGTGCACGGCTGTGTGCTGTGTCGGGCGCCCAGGGTGAGATTCCGGCACTTTCAGCGGGGCCTATGATTGAAGGACACTGCGATTGTTTTTAGAGTTGGCGCCTCCACTTTGAAGATGTTGATATTTCCAGATATTTCCCAACCAATTTCCCAACTAATTTCCCAACTATTCATAAGGGGTTCAGTCAACATTCGCCCAAGCATCAACTGGCGCTTCTCGCCATCCTCAGGTGGCAAGGCTACCCTGCCAATCGAGCTCCCTTCGACGAACACTTCCCATGGGACACTGAAAGCGTGGGAAACGACTTGGCGTACTATATGGACATCTACGATGAAGGCAGACACGGTCTCCACTGGTTGGCAAAGTTGCGGACACGTGATGAAAAAACAATGTAGGATGATGGTCGCAGCTGTGGTAATATTGGGGATGGTTTATTACTCGGTTTACCACATTCCAATACATCCCAGATGTTTGGAGATTTTTCAGAGGGTAGGGCTCAACCACCAACCAGATATGTTTCTATCATTAATGACCATTAATAACCATTAACCATTAGCAACCATTAACCATTGATGAATTGTTTGGAGCTTTTGCGCCAGATATGGACTTTGCGCAAGCCATGAAGCATTTGGTTTATCCACCTTCTACGGCCAGGGCCTCGGGAAATCCGTCGGAAATCCGTCGGTCGAACCACGCCGTGTCTCGGGGTTTCCGGCCAGACCTCAGGTGATGATCCGAAATGTGTCCTTCCCGGCCCCTCGGGAGCAGGAGCGTTCAGTTGTGACATTCTGGAGAGTGGGATTGATCTGCCCCCCTTTCGGACATATTCTGAAAGAAGTGGATTGTCCTCGTCAAAAATCAATCAGGCTTGCAATTTATCATGAACGCCTGGGGTCATAATTATTGGATGGAACTATCACCATGTTTGGTTGGGTCTTCCTAGGTATGGTTCGTAATATACCCCCTATGTATATGGGTACTACATTTGTTGTTCGTTTTGCAGCAATCTATGGTTTTGGGATATCCCCCATGTGTGGATGTGTCTGGTTGGTCTTGGTCTCCCTTCCCTGGTGATTTTGGGTTATGGATCCATCTCTGGATTCATTTTGGTCCCCTATTCATAGTTTTGTAAAGCCAAGAACCATCCGAAAA